CAGTATCTTTTTCCAAGAAAACTCCAAATGCAGTCGGTCATGAAGAGTCAGACACAACTGAAAAATGACCGAACTCTATGGAAGAAGGATTAGAATTGTTTCCTTTGACCCCAGAGAACAACACTTGGAAGAGCAGTTGGAAATTAGAAACAGATGAACTTGATGGAAAGGTGGGAAGGAAAACTTCCTAAGAATCAGAGCTCCCCACGAGTGGAATGGCTTGCCTCAAGTAGGGGAGAGAGATTCTCCTTGCTTGCGCTTGTCAGGATGGATGACCACTTGTCAGAAGGGATTCTTCGGGGAGTATGGGTTGGACTGGGTGACCCCAGAGGTCTCTTCAAACTCCGAAATTCTCTTATTTCTAATGTCAGTTTCACAGGACTATAACTAACCTACATGAAACACTACAAATGCGATGGGCTCCTGTTGTGATTTATTGAAATCAATGATTTTGAGTGACATAGAAGCCTAAAACGGGGTCATAAGCCTTATGTGTCTCACCCTCACCCTCAACACCAACCAGACTTGCCCCGTAGGCCACTAAACTGAGTGTCTGGGAAGCAACATCTAAAACCAGAGCAGAGGTATCTGGTGTTCACAGACAAACGTGAACGCTGTCTGAATTCTTAGAGCAGAATCTTTAAAATGATGCCTGGAACTGTTCTAGATGTTAGAAGGCCTTTGCTCTTGTTTTATGCCATCACCAAATGTAACCTGGATTTACAATAATCCAGGCAAAAAGAGGCCATATACCATTGAACAGATCTGGGTTCAAATGCCCAGCTCTCTGCCCCATACTGGACATGGACCCTGGGCAAATTATTTAACTTCTCAGTGCCCCAGTCAGATCTCCAAGACTCTAAGTTGCAGTGAAGTGTTGGTGTGCTTTGGCAAAGAGAATTTCCCCATGGGGAGTTCTCTATACCAATGAAATCACAGTTTCAGCTCTGCTCCCTGCCAAGAAAATCATGATGGATTTTTTTCAAGTTAACACTTAACAGGCATGAACAGTGGGGCTGAATCTCACCCCTTTTGGTAGATTAGCTTGTGACATTCCTGTCTTAATGGGGATTTGAAAAAATGTCATTTTATGCTCGAGTATGAGTTTTAGAAACTCGCTTTCTGAGATCTTGGAGACTCCAGATTCTCTTTGGAAAAGCCCTTGTTGATGAAAGCTTCATTTTGATAACATTCCACCAGCTAGCTGAACCCCTAGGCCGCCTGACTTAGCTTATACTGGGCTGCTTGCAGCTGTTTTCCAGCAGCTGATTGTGAAAGCAGGATGGATTTTTTTGGGGGGGGGTGGAGAAAAAAATACTTCAGTCACGTTAACCTGACAGCCGTCAGCAGAATTTAGCAGATATTTGTGGGAGTAGATTTACTATGGTTCCTTCCTGAATATATTTAGTCAGGTGAGAAATGTTATTATAGTAACATCCCACTTACATGGAGGCCTTAATTATGTGAGGACCAACTTCAGTGACCATTGATTTGGAACCTGCTGTGTGCTGAGAGAAAAGCTCTAACATTTATATAGAGCTTTCTGTGTCATTTCATTTGATACCAACAGTCTGGTGAGTTGGATAAAATTATTATTTTCTCCATTTTACTGATAAGGAAAGTGAAACTGACAGAGGTTAATAGTTCCTTGCTGGTGGTCACATAGCTAATTTCTGACGGTCTGAACTCAGGTCTTCCAGCACTTTATCCACTAAATCATGTAAGTGCTACTATGAAATGTGTGCTGGTAAAATATTAAACAACCAGATCTCCAAAAATGAATGGCATGCTTTTAAGTTTAATTTGCATTATTAACATTTTTCTCCATCCGTTTCTTAAGTTTAAACAAGCAGCAAAATAGTAAATCACGCCCTAATTTGTAGTGTTTGCTGATTTCTAGGGTGTAAATGCTGGCACTGAAAATTCAACAATTGGCTTTCCAAAGTCATTAGAGTAGGGTTGCAGGCAGTTCCAGTATATTCCTAGTTTGGTCCATGCTGTCATGGAGCTTACAGTCTAATGGGACATGTGTGTGATGGTGGTAAAAACATTACATAAATAACAATTGCAAAAAATATGAATGCTAAATAAATGCCTAGGAGATGAAAACCAAATGCTTGTTGAGGTACCAGGGGGCAAGAATTATTACTGCCTGGGGGCAAGATGCTGGTTTACCTCCAGAAAGAGATGATATTTGTGTTGTGGTTGAATTGAATTAGGAAGCAACAAGCAGTTTATTCAGCAGTTTACTCTGTGTAAAATATCATGTATAGGATTCAAAGAACTAGCACCTAGTACAGTGCGGTGCACTTAGCAGGTACTTAATAAATGACTCAGTGAATGAATGGAAGAAAAATAAAGCACAAGCACTGTCCTCAAGAATGCTATTTGTTTGTTTGTTTTTGTAGGCAATGGGGTTAAGTGACTTGCCCGGTCACACAGCTACTGAGTGTCAAGTGTCTGAGGCCAGATTTGAACTCAGGTCCTACTGACTCCAGGGCCGGTGCTCTATCCACTGCATCACCTAGCTGCCCCTAAGAATGTTATTGTTTAATGTGTGGATAAGGCATATACATAAATAATGGTGCTCCAAGGAAGAAAGGTAGTAACCATGAGTGGAGAGATTTACAAAGTGCACTAGCACTCAGAGGAGGGAGAGATCACATCTGGGTAGGGTGAGAACTGTGCCAAGTTTCAAAATTCAAGCAATAATTTTCTGAGTTGTGGCTACAATAATTGCAATATAATAATACCTTGAGTTTATATAATACTTTAAAGTTTGTAAAGGCCTTTACATGCATTATCCTTTATGATCCTCACAACCGAGTGAAGTAGGTGACACAATTATCCCCATTTTATAGATGAGAAAATGGAGGATGAGAGAAATTAAGTAACTTGTCCAGGGTCACACAGCAGCTAGTAAGTGTCTCAGGCAGGATTTGAATTCAGGTCTTCTTGAGTCTAAGTCCTGTGCTATGCCTACTACTCCGCTTAGCTGCCCATAAAATAGATGGATCCTAAAACTTGTATACTTTATTCTGTTGGAAAGGTCCTTAATCCATTATTCAGAGTTTACTGACTATTAATTTACAAATAACTTTAATAATGGTGCTTAGATTTCTCAGCCCCCAGCAAATTAGAAGCTATAAGTCATAAAAAGAAGGGCTGGATACCAGCAGGAGAGAGAAGACACAAACAGATGAGTATTTTATAGTCCAGGGCAGGAAGTAGTGGCTGTAATGATGGCCCGAGTCAATTCATCTCTTAGCACCTCAGCTTCCTCATTTCCAAAATGAGGGCGTTGGGTAGATGACTTTCATTGTCCCTGCCAGCTCAGAATCTACGATTCTAGAGTGAGAAAAGATTAACTCACATTCAGTGTGTGCATCGTTTTAGAAGACAAGGAAGTATATTTTCTTAGAGCAGAATCTTGAAAGAGGATGCTTGTAATTGCTCTAGATGTGAGGAGTGCTTTTGCTATTGTTTCATACTGTCACCAAACGTAAAAAAGATTGCCTTTCACAACTGGATAAAACAACGATTTAACATTTAACAATACAATATTTTGTTTATGTGGAAAATTCATCTTTGGTAACCGTTGTTCCCTACTGCTGCTGGCTAAAGACAGTGTCACTAGATTCTCCTCTAGTTTAGAACAAGAAGCCCAAACCTGCTTAGTATAAAAGTAATAATAATAATCACTATAATATAGAAAGTATGGGAGACTTTGTCTAAAACTTTTGTGGCTTCTATGCGTTTCAGTGAACTGAGCACATTGGTTTTTGCTTGTATTTAAATTTGAACTTAATTTCCATAGTTTTTATCATTCTGGTTCAGCATTTCCCAAATTATGATATAACAGGGAATTACTGGGGGCACTACCTAACTCTTGTTCTCCCTCTCTTATTGAGTTTCTTTATTTCCTCACAAACTACGGCATTAACAACCACAGCAACACTGTGAATGCAAATTGTAGTGCTTAAAAGTAGTTTAGGGCAGCTAGGTGGCCAATGGATAGAGCATCGACCCTGAAGTCAGGAGAACTTGAGTTCAAATCCCATCTCAGACCAGACGCTTGACATTATCTGTGTGACCCTGGGCAAGTCACTTAACTTTCAATTGCCTCGTCAAAAAAAAAAAAAGTTGTTTAAAGCATTTTCACATTCATTCTCTCTGGGAAAAGTACTGGATTTTGCATTAGAGGACCTGCTTTTGAATTTTGGCTCAGCTACTTTATCACCTTATGTGATTTTGGTCAAGTCTCTTAACTTTTATGTGCTACAAAGTACAGACTTCTGCATTGATGCAAAGGTAGTAGATTCATCCTTTGTCCCAGATGCGGCCTTAGAAAAAAAAATACCAAGTGGAGTCCAGTAAGCTCTGGTTGATTATGGTTTGACTTCGGCTCATTTTAAAGCAAGTCACACATACTGGAACTATGTTATAGAACGAAATTCATTATGAGGCAAGAAAGTACTGGAATGAATCCAAAGGGACTTCATTACTGACGCATTCAAAGAACTTTTGTATCTGTATGGGAGGTTGCTATATAGACCTTGGAGGACGGTCTTTTAGCCAATGACCTTTCTTAGACTGGGATAAAAGGCTTGTTAAAAAGAGTATTACTTTTAATTAGTAACAAACATACTTATCCATTCACAAAAAGTAAAAACAAAAACCGAACAAAATCTGAGGGGCAGTGAGGTAGCACAGTGGATAGCGTGCCAGACCTGAAGTCAGGAGGACTCATCTTCCTGAGTTCAAATCCAGCCTCAGACACTTACTAGCAGTGTTATCCTGGCAAGTCTCTATTTGCCTCAGTTTCCTCATCTGTAAAATGAGTTGAAGAAGAAAAGGGCAAACTACTTTAGTATCTCTGCCAAGAAAACCCCAAATGGGGTCATGAAGAGTAGGACAGGACTGAAATGATCAAACAGCAACACACGAAATCTGAGTTTTGACTTCTGGTCTCTTCCCTTCTCTTCTCCCTATTTTTCCAGTTCTCCTGCATTAGGTGATGTCATCCATTCTACAGCAGCTGTTGATCTGCTAGGGCAGCCTGTAACTGTTTCTTCTCCCCGTCATGATGTTTCAGTCCTGGATACTGCTGAGCTGACTGCTTCCAGGTATGCTTAGAGTCTGATTACAAGATCTGAATGATATGTGGCCACAGCCCCTTCTACTCTATCTATACTTTAGCTGTGCTGCTTTAAAAGGTTGTTGTTATTATATATGTGTAGCTAGCCTCCCATGTGGTCTGATGTGAGGGGTGCGGGGACAGTCTCCCTGCCCAGAAACACTACCTGCTCTGGTTTTTAACTAGTGCCCCAAAATCCATCATTAAAGATTCTTTCCATTGTGGTCTTCAAGGCCCTTAGTAAAAGGCATACTCCCCTGAAGATAAAGACTGTTAATAGCGTACATTTACATAATGCTTTATAATTTGACAAAGGGCTTTCCTCACAGCAACTTTGTGTGTAGGTAGTGTGTGTATTAATATTCTCATTATACAGAAAAAGACACTGAGTGCCATTACATGACCTATTTAAAGAAGCTAATCACTTTGAAAACTGGAAAATGTGAAAATTTAACATCAATGACTCAGCTTATCACCATTTCTTAGAGAAGTTTAACTGTTATAAAGCAAATCACCATAGTGAGGAAGCCAAAAGAACCCTGAAACTGCCTCAGCCAGTAAGCATTTGATCTCCTTGCCAAGAAGAGGCATGACAGCCAAAAACAACATCAGTTTGTAATAGAAGCTCATTTGTAAAACATTATAGAGGATGATGATGGAAGAGGACAAGCAGTCACCTCACAAACAGCAATAAGTAATTGAGAAAAAATTAACCTGTGGAAGCTTTGACATAAGACCTGACCAAGGCACATCATCCCATCTGTTTCTAGATAAAATTAGGAGAATAACAGATAGATGTGAAATGGAACAGACCTTTTAGCATTTTATAGCAGTCTGATCTTATTATCAATAATGGAATAACCCCCATTTGAATTGTGATACCTCTGTACCTGAGAACCTGGATGAGGGAGTTGAAAAGATACATGAGGAAATGAAGCTGAAAATTGACTGGAAGAGGCTCAAAATATGCAGAAGAAACCTATATTGGAAGTGGCATGATTTGAAAAGCATTCAGGGGTCAGTTAAGATAGTTCAAAGAAGGAAAGATTCCAAAAGAATAGAAAATGTCACATATGCATTATGCTTGGAAAAAAAAAAGGGAGGTGATGCAGTTGAAATTGGGAACTTCTGACCCACATGCCTACTTTGCTAATCCTAGAAATCTCTTTGGGAATAATTTATCAGAGGTATCCTTAATGGAAAGCTTTTATTTAATTATTTAGTTTTTAAGCTTAGTCAATGTCAACAAGGTAAGTAATCAATATATGAAAAAAGAGTAAAACCCTATCTTCAGAACTTGACAAAGCAGAACTTTTTTTATTTGGCTACCCTTCCTTGCTGGATTTTTAAAAAGCATTTGATTTGCTGCAGTAAACAGCTCTTTAAGGCTATTTCCATGGTTTCTTTCATATCTCATAAATGTTGGGATACAAAGACAAAAACAAAACAAAAAAATTGGTCTGCCCTGAAGGAGCTTGCATTCATTTGGGGGATACAACATGTAAGTAGGTAAATAAAAATACAACTTGAAGAGAAAGAGCATAATTAGAACAAAGGGAATCAGGAAGGATTTTGTGTAGGAGGTAGTATTTGAATTTCACGTGTAAGGAGGTCAAGGGTTGTAAAAAGTAAAGGTGAAGAGAGAGTACGCACTAAGCATGGGAGGCAGCCTGTTTTGAATTAGGGAGAATGCTGATTTCTGTCAACAACAAGGAAGCCAACTTGGCTCCATCATAGAATACATGAAGGGGCAGTAGTTTAGAGTAGTAAGCCTGGAAGGATAGACTGGAACCACATTGTAAAAGGCTTTCAGTGACTGGTTGGGGCAGATTGTATTTTATCTTTGAGGTAGTAGGGAGATTTGGAAACTCTCAAGAGAATGGCATGGTCAGGCCTATGCTTTTAGAAGATTATTTTGGCAGCTGTGTGGAAAATGGGCTGGAGAGGTGAGAGACTGTAATCTGGGCAACCAGTTGTGAGGTTGTTGCAGTAATCCAGATAAGAAGCGATGTGGTCCTGAACTACAGTAATGACTTGTGAGTGAAGAGAAGAGGACATATGTGAGAGATTTTATGGCTGTAGAATCGATAGGCAACCGATTTCATTTGGTGGAGTGGGTGTGGGAGTTGGGAGTGAGGAAGAAGGAAGAGTTAAGATTACTACAAAGACAAAAATGTGGCTGACCAGAAGGCTGCTGGTACTCCCAAGAGAAATAGGGAAACTTAAAGGAAATATTAGCTTATTTAGGGGGAAGATAATAAGTTCTGCTTTCAGTATACTGAATTTGAGATGCCTACAGACTCTCTTAGGTTATCCAGCAGACAGTTGGTGATGTGGGACTAGAGTACAGGAAACAGATTAGTTAGGGCTGAGGACATCAATTTAGAAATCTTGCCAAAGGAATTTTCCAGTGTCTTGGAGGATGTCATGTGCAGAGCAATAAATGAACATGTAGGGAACTCTCCATGTGGAAACTTCCTCCCCTGATTGAGAATGGTAACTCCATTGTCACACAGCTTTAGAGAACTGTCCTCATTCAACACCATGACTTGTCCGTGGTCACAGGGTAAGTATAGGTCAATGTCAGAGCTTGAACCTAGGTCCTACTGACTCCCAGGCCAGGCTTCTATCTGCTTTGCCACATTGCCTCTTTAAATAAACACTAATTAAGAAATGAGATTTTCGACAAGTAAAGAACTCCGAATCCTTAGGGGGAAGGTGATCCTGCCCCTGCAGTTACTGAGGCCTCCATTTCTTTGTTCCAGTTGCCACACCCCAGCACCTCAGGAATGCTGCCCACTGTTTGTCCTGCTGGTCAGACAGATGGCATGAACTCTCTTGTGATGAGGTGTGCTTTCTGGAATGGGGATTTCCTTTTCATTAAAGTGGTCCAGCTCTCCTTTATTTGTCCACTGGCCAATCCCTAATAAAGCCTCCGACAAGGTTAGGTTGTAAACAATTACTCAAGGAACATAGTCTGATCCCTGAAGCAGAGGAGGCGTGTCTGTTATGGCTTCTTAAGGTTTCTGTAACTCAGCAAGTATAGATCAGGAGGAACTTTTAAAAATTGGGCTCTTGTTGGGCTCATGAGGAGAGGAAGATTCACACAAAGCTTATGAGTATCTAGCAAGAATAGGGACACACACACACACACACACACACACACGGATTTAATGTTTGGGTTGGGATATAGTCCCAGAGGATAGAACTAAGGAACTGCAGGTAGAAGTTGCAAAGGCACAGATCTGAGCCCAAGGGGAAACTTGCTTATTTTCAATTAGATCAGCATGAAAATGGAATGGGTTGCCTCTGAACCCACTCTGCTGGGTGGGTGTTGAAGCTAAGGCTGGAAGATCTCTTGTGGGGCTGATAGTAGAGGAGATTCCTTTTCCGGTGGGTTTGACTAACTGACTGCGAAGGCCTTTCCAGCTCTGCAATTCTGTGATTAGAATGATGGAGCTAGGAGGGACTTCTGCAATCATCTCCCATTTTAGAGAGAGAAACTGGGGCTCAGAGAAAAGTGGTTTTTCTTGCCTCCTACAATTATCTATTAATAAACAAGTTTATTTCCTCACGTCATGCTGAATATAAAACGTTCAAAGAAGAGTTTTTCAGTGGGAAAGAGGTTGTTCAAAGGGTAGAACACTGACCAAGAATGACTAAAATTTGTTTAAGGTGCAAATGATAAAGTATTGACTTAGTTTTGAGACTTATTTGTTTTATTTTCTAGTCAAAGAAATGGGAGTAGTAGGATGATTTATTTTTAATAATAATAATAATAATAATATCTGTGGTGGCAAAGAATTGCAAATTGAAGGGATGCCTATCAATTGAGGAATGGCTGAACAAGTTATAGTATGTGTTTGTGATAGAATTGTTGTTCAGTTGTGTTAGACTCTACATGAACCCTTGAACAAAGTCCATGGGGTTTTCTTGGCAAAGGTACTGGAGTAAGTCTGTCATTTCCTTCTCCATTGTGTTTCCGTTTTACAGAGGATGAACTAAGGCAAATAGAGGTTAAGTGACTTGCCCAGGGTTATACAGCTGACTAGTGTTTGAGTCTGGATTTGAACTCAGATCTTCCTGACTCTAGGCCCAGTTCCCTGTCCACTACACCACCTAGCTGTCCCTAGGCGTTGTAATGGAATAATTATTGTGCTATAAGAAATAAGAAGCAGGAAGCTTTCAGAAAAAAACCTGGGAAGAATTATGATCCAATGTAGAGTGAAGTGAACAGAACCAGGAGAACATTCATTGTACATAGTTAACAGCAACATTGTACAATGATTAACTGTGAATGACAACTATTCTCAGTAATACAATGATCCAAGACAATTCTGAACAACTTATGAAAAATGCTGTCCATCTCCAGAGAAAGAACTGATGGCATCTGAAGGCAGATCGAAGCATACTTTTTTACTTTCTTTCTTTGTTGGTTTTTTTCATCTGTGTTTTCTTTTGCAACATGGCTAATATGGAAATATGTTTTACATGGCTACACATGTATAACCTATCTCAAATTTCTTGCCTTCTTAAAGAACGGGGAGAGAAGGGAGGGAGAGAATTTGACGTGAGAAAAAATAAAATAAAAATTAATAATAATAATAGCTATCATTTATATAATATGAGGTTTATAAGCACTTTACATATGTCCCACTAGAAAGGATAGATTGTATGATTGAGGTGGGAGGGAGAAGGGTAACTAATGGAGAGAAAGAGACTTGTTGGGGGGGGGTTTTGAACAAAGTCTGAATGATTTTTGTCTTCTAGCATCATTTAACATTTACCTCACTTTGTTGGAAACTTATGAAAGAGCAATTCTGATTAGAATTGTTTTCAGTTTAAAAAATGATTAGATAGAGACCTATTTTAAAAATTTGGAACCATCCAAATGGCAGAGATTTTTTTTAAAAAAGTATGAAGGTTCTGTCTTGAAGGAAGAAAAAGCTACTACTGTTTCTTCTCTCGACACCCACCCCCTTTTCTCAG